AAACTTGAAATTAATGTATTTTTGCTTTTAACAAGCTTTAACAGCTTATAACAAATTAATTTTTTAAAATAATCTTAATATTTTATTGTATTATATTGATGAATTATTGTTTTTCTCTTTATATTGCTCGTGCTTTTCTACAGCTTTTTCCTTTGTTTTTTTATAATTTGGCAAAATAAATTAAATTAAATTTGAAAATTACTATTTTCTTTCATTTATTTAACCTTTTCCTTTATTTTTAATACCATAAAACTTCGACAAAATCAAATTTAAAAGTATAAGTACAATCGAGATTGTTTGTAATCTTCCTCTATGTTTGTTAAAAAATCTGACTCGTGTCTTTATTTGAGAGAAAAGTGTTGCGCATTTGTTTTTGATATTTTAAGTGATAGATTAGCTAAATCTGATCTTTTAGTAAATATTCAACTAGTTTATCGTCTTATCTCCCCCGTTCTGCTCGTGGCATAAAACTTGTTCGTTATTGGCTGTCGCTCGATGGTTCGATCCGAAAACTCGTTCTCGTCTGTCATTTTCCCTTTCAGTTCTGTGCCCGCGAGCGCTTTTATTACGCTCTTTCCGCAACTTGTCGTCGCAAGTTATCGACCTTAAAACCGTAATGAAGATTTATCTCTATCCACCTTATCTTATGCCTGCCACTAAGCGGACCAGAAATAGCCGGCGATTATGTACGCTAATAGGTAAATCAAGGTACACTCGATAATACACCTGTTAACGAGCATATTTAAATTTCTGACGATGAGAGGCAAGAACTATTAATACGTCATTAGCATTGACATTCGAGCCTAACAAAATTTATTATCAATAATATATATATATATATACAAGACTGCAATGTGAATAACTGAAATAAATATGATCGAGACTCTCTTTGTGATGTTATAATAATATTTTTAGATACATTTTTTAATACGCCTTCCAGCTAAATGAACTGGGCGTCTATTATACTGTTCAGATTTGAAATAAAATCAAAACTAATAATATCTAGGCCTAGGTGGGTAAATTAAGGAAATTTGGAATGAATACCAATTAGGATTAATAGTAAAGCTAATAAGCATCTTACTATTGGAAAGAATTTATTGCAAAAATTTATTAGTTTTACGGATTTGAATCCCGCCCGTCTCGACAAGAAAAATTCATTCTATTAGTTTACGCCGCGTAAAAATTTTTTTTCTTTCTTTACCAATAAGATGCGAAACAATAATCATCTTTGTTATATAACTGCGTCACGCCATACACGTATATAATCGTGCGATAATTTTCCATAGGTATTGCTCTTTCGCACTCGCAATTATCGGCTCGCATTCATTGACGCTCGATAATTAATTCATGCCCTTTACGCTCCTTCGCGAGACATTTGCAGAGACGGTACCGAGTCGGTTACAAAGGCGATTACCATGAAAATGCAATATGTCAATTAGATAGACGGACAAGCGAATGGAATAATTGCTCTCACCTCTGGAATTCTTTTCGTTGCCTCGGGCCAAGAGGGGGCAAGAAAAAGGAAACAGTGGAGAAGTCGCCGTGTCATTATGTACGACACTCTTGCCGTGTCTACGGCACGTGGATCGTGCAGTGTCCCTACTCTCTAGATGATGTAATCTTCGAGTAAGTTTGCGGGAAGCGTGACCGTTCCAAATCTCGGTCAAAATCTTTCAGTCCTACTTTATGTCGAAACATGACCACTGCACGATCCACTATAATACAATAGCCGCCTTCCTTATATCGTTTATCTGCCAAATTCTTGGCAGACATCCGTTAAAGTTACATCAGAAATTTGTAGAGTGAAAGCATGTATCGAGCTCGTAACAGGTATATTTATTGGGGCTTCAAGAATTGTGGCGACTTACAAAGAAAAAAAATTGTTGGTAAAGAAGGAGCGAAAAAATTGAAAATTTTACAGATTTAACGACCTTCACGAAACCACTGCGTGACGGATTTTAAAAAATCGTTTTCTTTTTTCTTTTTAAACATGATAAATTAGGGTCTAGCAACCCTAATTTTTTTAACAATATAGGTTTCAATAATATAAGCTAAACTGGAATGTTATATGAATGAATGAATTAATTAAGGAAGGGCCAAAAGTACTAGCCTAGACCTCGTATTTAACCTTTCTTTGCTTATTTAAGCAGATTAAACAAATGTTTAGTTAAAATTGAAATCTTTTCTTATGCAGCTATATAAAAACATTGAATAGATGTTTCTTTCGTCATTAATGTTATTAATGTTAAATGTACATTTATTAAATCATCGAAACGTTTAAATAAATTTAGTTTAAAAAACGTATCCAATTTTAAACGATTATTTTTTTCAGTTTATACGTTTATTACATGATTTTTAACGTTTATTAAATTTTGACATTTTTGTAATGTGTTGTGCTTGATTTATGTACATATAGTGATCTAGTTTAACTTGTTATCAAAAGTTATTAGACTCTAATTTGACATATTCAAAAAAGAAAGCAAAACGACTTGAAAATATAAAATTTGCAAAACGCAGCCGTGAAACGAATTTCGTGAAACTCGCTAAATCTGAGAAATTTATAATTTTTTCGATTAGACGAATTTATACCCACGAGATATATTTGTGAGTCACTTTTCCATTTAAACTATCTTACACGCGATGTAATTGCCGGAACATTATGTCGTTGCGTAATGGAACTTCGTAACAATGTCTTAATTGCAGTGCAATTTTTATACGATCATATACTCGTATCTTTACGATTTGTAACCGGTCGACTGACTTATTTAAGTGTACACATTAACGCGTATATTTTATTTTTAATTACCAATTTGTAACCATTATGATTAGTTCCGCAGATAAATTGAGTCTTTCTCTCGGAAGATAAACTTTCAACGAGGTCAGTGGGCAAAAATATCAGCGGAAGAAAAGAAAATGGAGAATGAAGCCATACATATTGCGCGCGTGCGATTTTGTCACGGAAAGAACGATTTTACCGAAATATCTAAAAATTTAGCTAGACAAACCTGAAAATAACGTTATTGGACCATCAAAATAATTATGTAAAACACAAACTAATTACTACACGAGTTCATAATGTTAAATTATACCCAATTTGATTGATTTTTAATTATATTTCTATTAATCGCCACTGATCTCTTATACTCAATATGTTGATTAATTAATGAAATTAAACAATTTAACTCGAGATATGTATACAATTTTATTTAAATTTAGTTCGTTATTTACTAAGTGCAAATTTTAATATGAATGTTTACTTTGAAATTAACCACAAATGGATTGATTTACATTTTGATACGCATAGAAATTAAAAGTTAAATATTATTTAACTCAAGGGATTAGAGAGAGAGAGAGAGAGAGAGAGAGAGAGGGAGGACCATTGCTCCTTTAATATTTAACAGTGTAAAATGTCAAATCTTTGTGCAGCATTGTTCATTATGCTTAAGAATTATACATAATTATTTTAATGGTGCAACGAAATTATTTTCAAATCTGCACTTATTAAATTTCTAGATACTTCACAAGAGAACATTGCAAAACTACATTGCAAAAGTGACAAAGAACTAATATTACCAATTGAAAGATTATGTTTGAAATAGATATTCTAGAATCTAGATGGTCAAATCTTGGGATCCTATGGATTCTGTTAATCCGTAATAACAAAAATGCATTCTCGAGGTATTTTGTATCAAAATAGTTGAAACATTCCGGTCCAAGTCGAGTATAGAAACCATAGGATCCCAAGATTTGGCCATCAAGAATACCTATTTCACGTGATCGATCGTTAAACATTTTTTGATATTTTTGATGCACGCAGCACGTTTCCTTGTCAGTCAAATTATTCTTTCGCGTGTTGACATTTAAGTTATACGTGAGGCTTACTGCAACTCCATGTAAACGAACGTCGATTTACGACGCGGAAGGAAGTAACGCTCTCGAGGCGCTCTCATCTACCTGTGTACTACTCTTTCGTTACCGTAGCGATACAATTCACTACTCGCGCTCGCGTAACCGCGTTCTCCAGCGCGTTGCAGCGTGTCGGAGGCCCCGCGCTCGTTCCGGGAGTTCCCCGGTCCCCGACCCATGTCGAGAGATTGAGAGTCGCCGCGAGTTGGTCCCCCTTGTCCCCTCTCTCTTTTCCTCGTCCTCCATCTCCACGCCATCGTTTCTCTCTATCTCTCCCCGTGTATGCCTGCCTAGCGGGGCCTCATAGGGAAAGAAGAATCAACAAGGATGCGGTGGACAGGGAGAGGAGGCAGGATATATGTATATACGTAAGAAGGAACGACGAGAGGAGAGAAAAGGGAAAAGAAGAGGAGAAAGAAAAAGGCGCGTGTGGTGCCGGAGACTCCGAACGATGGAAAATGAGAGAGAGAGAGAGAGAGAGAGAGAGAGAATGCGTCATTTATCATGCGCTCTGGAACAAGCCCCCTCAAGTGCTAGACAAAAAGTACATGCACAACTAGAGCTTACTCCATTAATAAAATATAAAATAAAGTTTATAGCGAATATAAAAGTACACGTGCGAGTGTATAAGTGTATTACACGAGTGTGTATTAGTGTAACTCAAGGCAGGGGGAGACGGAGGTACGCGAAGAGCCGTACACGCGCACAAAGAGATGAGAGGACGAAGGAGGAACGACAATCGGGAATAACACGCGGGGGGTCTCGGGCTCTCTCACGAGAGGACGACGGACCGACGACGGAGGGAGAGAGTTGGACCGCAGCAAGGAAGGGTGCGCGCAGAGAGCGAAGGAGTAGCTGCGGTGGCGGTGGCGACGGTGGAGGAGGAGAAAGAGGAGGAGGAGGAGGAGGAGAGATCTCTGGACCAAAGCGCGGGAAGCAGCGCGAGGGGGGTCCGAGAACGACGGTAGAGTGACGATAGAGAGGGGTCCGGGGGGTCGGTGGGGGTCTGGCAAGGAGCGAGGGATCCCATTGGTTCGCGGCCGGGCCATATTATAAGCGGCTGCAGTCCGTGCTAGTTAATGTTAGCTCGAGCC